TGTCTGCCTGTGTGATGTTTGACAGAAATGGAGCTAATCTGAGCCCCGGAGGCTAATTCCTGATTCCACTCCGTGTCCGTCCGTTGTTCTTCCTCTTCCTTTTCCAAACTTTGCCAAAAATCTCTGATCTCAGCTGCAGCAGCAGAGCCACGGTCCTCGGAGTCTCACGGCCTCCTCACCTCCTCACCTCCTCCTGACTGCTGTTCAAATCTAGAAAAACTAACTCTTTCTTTGTCTCCCCCCGCCCTGCCCCCCCCCTCTACACCTTTACAGTCGATGCTGCGACAAAAAGAGCTGTGGCAACAGGAACGAGACCCCGTCAGACCCGGTGATCATCGACAGGTGAGTGACACCTTTGGCTGCTGTGACGTCACCGTCGTCGTACCGTTCAGGGTCCACGGACCAGATGTTGGTGGTGAACTGTGATGAAAACGTCGCCGTGGCGTCCGTGTGGTCGTACGGTACCGTGGGCCTGCGGTTGCACTGATGTGGTACTGGACGCCCGGGGTGTCAGCGTGTGTGTGTTTGAGCCTGACTCTGGGTGAGGTCGGCCGTCTGCTGCCACGGTTGTTCTTCAACATCTTTCCTCTTTACAGCGCGGCCTGCGCTCGGTGTGTGTGTGTGTGTGTGAGGTGTGTGTTGGCCGACGGTGAGAGGGAACTTATTTTGTTCTTACTTGTGTGTGCGTGCGTTCACGCGTGCAGATTGAAGGCTGCTCTGTTCGAGACCGGAAGCCGTGCACGGGCTTGAACGCTCGACCGTGTCTCCTAGAACCTACAGCACCTCGGAGGAGGAACCGTGGGTGACCGTGGGTTCTGCGTCTGGATTCTGAATTTGTCCCACGTGTGTGTGTGTGTGTGTGTGTGTGTGTGTTAACGAGGCAGTGACCTGAGCTCTCTGACGAACACAGCTGTCCTGGTCTCACCGCTCCTCTGTCAAACACTTTCTTACCTGGGTTATGTATATGGCCTGTACATGTATGTGTGTGAGAGCCCCCCCCCCCCCCCCCCCCCCCCCCCCCGCGCCCCCGTCCCGGGCCGTGAGCTCCAGCAGACAGCTGCAGCCCGGCACACGGCTCACAGAGCAGCCTGCCCGTCACTCTCTGCTCTGACTTTAGCTTTTTATTTCTCTGTATCAGAGAATCGGAGTAAACCGACACCCACGGTCCCTGCCCCCCCCTCCTACCCCCCTACTCCGCTTCAGCACACCCGCCTGCC